ATAGCTGTGTTTATTTCAAGAAAGGTGACAATGGTTCAAAGATCTACTTACTCTTGTACGTGGATGACATGTTGATTGCAGCAAAAGATATGAAGGAGATTCAGAAGTTAAAAGACCAGTTGAAAGCTGAATTTGAAATGAAGGACTTAGGAGCTGCCAAAAAGATTTTAGGTATGGAAATTATTCGTGACAGGAAGTCTAGGATCTTGCATCTTTCTCAGAAAAGTTATATTGAGAAAGTCCTAAGACGCTTCAATATGCACGAAGCAAAGTCTGTCAACACACCTTTTGCAGCTCATTTCAAGCTATCATCCGCTTTGAGTCCTACTAATGAGACTGATATGGCTTACATGGCACGTGTTCCATACTCTAGTGTTGTTGGATCTTTAATGTATGCTATGATCTGCACACGCCCTGATTTGGCTTATGTTGTTAGCATGGTTAGTAGATACATGGCGAACCCGGGGAAAGAACACTGGAAAGCAGTTCAGTGGATTTTTCGTTATTTACGAGGTACGTCTTCCATGTGTTTACGTTTTGGCAAATCTAACACTGGGGTGTTCGGATATGTTGATTCAGATTATGGAAAAGATTTGGATAAACGAAGATCAATTACAGGGTATGTGTTTACACTAAATGGTTGTGCTGTTAGTTGGAAAGCCCAGTTACAGTCTACAGTTGCCCTGTCTTCTACCGAGGCAGAGTAAATGGCGATTACAGAAGCAGTTAAGGAAGATATCTGGTTGAAGGGGTTATTCGGAGAACTCGATGATAGAATAAAGGTGACCACAGTTTTCTGTGACAACCAGAGTGCTATCTTCTTGAGTAAAGATCAAATGTTTCATGACCGAACAAAGCATATTGATATTCGTTATCATTTTGTGCGGGATATCATTGAAAAAGGTGATTGTGTTGTGGACAAGATTCATACAGATTATAATCCCGCTGATATGTTCACTAAAAGTCTTCCTATAGCCAAGTTCAAATTATGTTTGGACATGGTGGGTGTTTCTGATCGCAGTTGAGCCTGAAGGCTCGTAGGTGGAGGAAGTATTATTTATTTTTCGGAAACAATTTTTCTCTATATAATTTTGCAGGTTCTTATGGAAGTTTTAGAGTTTGATGAGCTATAGTTTTTTGACTAATCGTAAAGCATGACTTGCTTAATTTTGATGTCAAGGTGGAGATTGTGGAAAAGTTGCCTCCAAAATTAGCAAGTGGCAAATAGTTCAGGGGTTATTTCCGTAACTTATCATTTACTATTCATAGTTTGACTATGAATAGTAATATATATGTGAAATGTTTGAAGAATTGGACGACACATGTGATTGGAGATTTGTTATTCAAAAGTTTGTAGGCGGAGTGTTTGGTCATGAATAGTATTCAAATTTGAAGGCGCAACATTTTTGGACGACGGCATTTTTTATCCTTTCATATGTTCTTTTCTTTGGCTATAAATAGCCTAAGCCATTTCATTACGAATGAACCCAACAATCAAATATATATATATAGTAAAACATTACATATATATATATATATATATATATATATATATATATATATATATATATATATATATATATACTGATACACCACCATATATTTTAGCCCTCTCACTCTATTTGTAATCTCTTTCATAATCCCTGTAAACACTGCAAATTATAGTGAATTGTTTCTCGGCTTCCTCCGCCCGTGGTTTTTTCCCGATTTGGGTTTCCACGTAAATTCATGTGTCTCTATTCTATTTATTTTATTCGTATTTCGTTGTGATTATTACGCTTTGATAATTTTTGATCCCATTCCGCATTGAGCTAATATTATTTAAGTTTATTCGGATCCTTCGTATTTCACAACATTTACTTTAAGACCAAAACTAATGTGGAAACATTTTAGTATTCGAGCTAGGTTCTTGATACTCCCTGTTTCTCATTTACCAATAAACATGGCGTCATCGGCGTAAAAGAGATGTGTTAGGCATGGTCCATCATTTGGTAATATGACACTATTGTACAATGATTTTTGAGACACATTCTTAATCGCAATATTCAATCCATCCTTTGCAATTATAAAGAGAAAAAATGACAGAGGGTCACCCGACTCCTTTCGTGATCAGGAACTCCCGTGTGGGGGACCCATTTACAAGAACCGATGCCATTGAAGACGAGAGACAACCATTTATCCAATTCCTCCATTTATAACTGAAGCCCATTTGTTCCATTATAGAATCTAGGAAGCGCCAATTCAATGAGTCAAATGTTTTTTCAAAGTCTACCTTGAATATGAAGATTCTTTCTTTTGCCTGTTTGGCCCATGAAAATTTTTCATTGACTATCAGTGGTCCATCGAGGATATTCCTTCCTTTGATGTAAGCCGATTGGACTTCATCAATAACTGGGCCAATAACTGATTTAAGTCGGGAGGCAAGAATATTTGCTATGATCTTATATAAACATCCAATCAAGTTGATGGGTATGTAATCACCAAGGTGAAGAGGATCTTTAACTTTGGGGACCAAAGTGATGAACGATGAATTACAACCACTCGCGAATTGACCATATGTTTCAAAGTGTTTCCACAAAGCTAATTACATCTCCTTTGATAAGATCCCATTTGTTTTTAAGGATTTTAAAAGTGTATCCGTCCGGCCCAGGGGCCTTATCACCACCACAGTTCCAAATGGCTTGCTTTATTTCATCAACTTGTATTGGTGCCTCCAGTGAGTCAATGTGGTCACTTGAGAGTTTTTTGAATTGATCACTAATTAATATAGGTCTGTTCGATCATCTCTCATGAAATTTATCTGCAAAGAATCTATGAATTTCATTCACTGACACGTACAATGAACATCTAAAATACATTATACTTTTTAAAGAGTACCACCCCCACTACATTACAATTTATTTTCAACTTATTTCTTTTATCAATAAAACTATAAAAGATCTGTAATTATCTCATTTTTTTTATCATACATTCTAAAAACCAATTTACTTTGTTTTTGCAATGATTTTTAATGTAAACAAGTTTATATATTTATAAAAACATAAAACAATCAAAATTTATAAATGAATATTGAGAAAAAAAAAATCTTCTTAGGAGTTTTGATATATACCTGCTCATTAGAAAGACTTTATTGCTGAATAAAAATCGAAGGGGTAATAAGCCAAAAAAAAAAAACATTAATTATTAGTTGCTGAATAGTTTGATCTTTTAGTTAAAATCTTTTAAATTTTTTATTCATCATATATTTTTTAAATATTTGTTTTTCTGTAAGTCAACTTTGGTATGATAAATATTTCTGGTGAACTAGTCGTTTAAAATTTCTGAACAACACGCCTCGCATCGTGAGAGTTCCATAGAAAGATATGTCATATAAGCTTTTTATATCTTTAAGGAATGTTTTAAGATAACATTAATTATAAATATTCTAAGAACAAAAAAAAAATAAGGTTGAATTAAAAAGCAAAAAAAAAACTTTCCAAACATCTTTTATACGATATTATCCTCTCCACCTACATTTACCATGATAAATTCGTATATCATGCTCATGTCGCATATTGTTTGTCTTTTGAGATTTTTTGCCTTTTCACAGTTTCACCTTACTTTTTTTTTTAAAATTCAGTCACATTTGTTAATAAACATTGGGTTTGTAAAAAACAAATTTTGTTTCACTTGTTGAGATTGAGAAGAACGCTAGGCCCTATGGGCCTCCACCATGGAGTAAATAATCTTAGCCTTTTAAATATGTTGTGTTTTTTTTTTTTTTACTAACGTTCCGATTATGAATATTAAAAATGCATTTTTAGTTATATTTTCTTTCATAGTTAACAAATTTAGGGTTTTCATACAGAGAAAATGTCTACTGGGGTTTTTGTGTTATAATATTCTCTTTATTAGAAGAGGACATATTTCTTTTTTAATTTTAGCATCTCTTAAGATGAAGCTTTGGGTTAGTGAATACTCTAACAACAAATATAATGAAAAGTTGACATATTTTTTATATTATTTTTGGTATAAAATTATTCTAACCTAACCAAATGTAAAGTTGGCATAAATTTTTTATTTTATTTTTCGTTTAAAATTATTCAAAATGATAATTCTTAATAGTTTAACCTTTTAGTTAAAAATAATAATTTTTTTTTCATCATATATCTTTAAATATTTCGTTTTGCCTAAATCAACTTTGGTATTATAAATATTTGTGGTGAAGTAGTTGTTGAACTTTGGTAAATACACGCCTCGCATCGTGAGAGTTCCATAGAAAGATATGTCACATAAACTTGTTCCATAGAAAGATGTCATATAAACTTTTTATATCTACACGGAATGTTTTAAGATAACATCAAATACAAATATTCTAAGAAAAAAAAAAGAATAAGATTGAATTAAAAAGCTAAAAAAATATTTTTAAACATCTTTGATTCGATATTATCCTCTCCACCTACATTTACCATTGATAAATTTGTATATCATGCTCATGTCGCATATTGTTCTTGTCGTTTGGGTCTTTTTTTTATTTACTAATTTTTATTCGTTCTTTACTCGGTCATTTTTGTTAGTGAACATTGGGTTTGTAAAAACAATTTATATTTCATGGGTTTAGATTGAGAAGAATGCTAGGCGATATGGGCCTCCACCATGGTGTAAGTAATCTTAGCCCTTATAAAGAAAATGTATACTGTGGTTTTTCTGTTATAATACTTTATTAATTATAAGACGAAAAAACTACCAATCAGGAGACCCGGTTATATAATCAAATCAAAAAAATAGCCCACGCCTTAAAAGTCCAAACCCAAAAATCCCAAATCCACAAATTTTAATATATCTAGATAATAGCATATACAAACATAAACCAAAACATGGAAAATTCCATACAACAATACAAAAAAGTCTTCTAATTTTTTTGGCAACTTCTAATCTTAAATAAATGAATAACATTTGGTAACTTCTAATCTTAAATAATAAAAAAACAATTTCACTAAGATATACTCAACAAAATAGCTGGTGGCTTTTGAATTTAATTCCTTACATTCAAGCTCATTCATCCGAACAAAACTTTTTCTTTAATTCGATTCTTAAAATCTAAAAAGTTAAAACCCAACCATACCCTAATCATTATTACATTTATCACCATGGAATCGGAATTCAATTCCATCACCGATTACTCTCTTCAATTTCATCAAAATCCTGCGATTCCAATCCTTCATCCCCATCCGAAATCCTTGGAACACGAATCCTACCTTCAAAACTCCTCTCAATCTCTCCCACCAATTCCAATTCCCCTTTCCCTTTCAAATACTCCACACATTTTTCAAACACATCTTGATCCAATCTACACCCCCTTTTATCCTCAGCCACCACACACTTTCTCAACACCTCCACCGCCTTCTCCATCTCACCCTCCCTAACATACGCCGCCACAAACAACCCCCACGTGCTCGCCGGAGCCATCTTCCCCATCCCCACAACCCGCTCAACATACTTTTCCGCTTTCCCCAAAATACCCTTCTTACAATACCCACCAATAACCATATTCGGTATCCTAAAGTCAAAAGACAAGTTTTGAGCTTCCCATTCGGTCAACATCTTCTCAGCTCCATCAATGTCATCCAATTTCACTAATGCATAAATCACAGATGAATAGCCTCGATTGTATACTTTACTCCATGAGGATTTGTATAAATTCCATATTCTATACACATCATCTTTTTTACCTAGAGAAGCGTACATTCGAATAAGAATTTCCCAAGCTGCCCCTTTGGAATTCCCACGGATATACCCTTCTGATTTCTGTAACATTTCATAGGATTTTTCCGGTTTACCGGATTTTAAATACCCACCTGAGATGATGATGTAGGCGTTCCAGTCAACTGTAAGTGTAGAGATTTCTTCCATTCTTTTAAGAACTTTTTCCATTGCTTCAATGTTGGGGAGAGAAGCGTATGCACTTAATCGGATGTAGAAAGTTGGTTTATCACATGAAATACCTGTTTCTAGCATTTCTTGATAGGTTTCATCTAGCTTTTTGATGTCTCCGGTTTTTTTGTAGAGATTAAGCATTGAGTTGTAAGAAAGTGTTGTCATCATTCCCATTTGCTTCATCTTTTCTGAGAGGGATTCTGCTTTTTCTAGTGATTTTGTACTGGAGTAGCAGTTTAGAAGGGCGCCATAGACTTGGAAATTCTTTACTTCGTCTGGAATGGTATTGAAATAGTTTTCAGCTTGTTCTACGCCTTCGACTCTTGATAGTAGATCCAAGTGAACTGCAAAACCTGCTGGGTGAAGTTTCGTCCTTTTTTTGGACATCCATTCTGAAAGCTGCCATTAGAAAGAGTTGATTGTAACAATGTTTGATCACAGATAGATGAGAGATGTGGATCTGAATCGATTTCTACAAATTAATACTCAACATTTGATTTTTGAAATGAGAATAAAATATCCTAAAGCTTCAATGCTTCGATGATCTATAACCACATTTGGAAAATACAAGTAGCAGCAGGAAATGAACTTTTGGACATAACAATTGGAAGTTGATATACTTGAATCTCGATGATTTTTGAAACCAGTTCTCGATAACTGATTTGATTAGGAGAAAATAGAATGAGAATCAATGGTTAACATTCGCGAATTTTAGTATACACGAACCTGGAGAGCGTGGGTGTATCGATTGAACTTCCGGAGGCTTTTGATTATGACAATGAGCTGCTCGATTTTGACGGATTTACCTTCTTTTTCCCACTGTTCGAGTATCGGTATCATCGAAGCGTTAGGATCCCCGACGGGTGAAATCCTCCTGTACAGATTGTCATTCTTCTTAGGAATTGGCTTTTCCTGGATGATGCTTGTTTCAGTCGAGTAAAACAAACCCCTAGAAATGGAAATGTAACCTTTTGATGATTTACAGGATCGAAGCAACGCCATCATCATCATGCTCATGCACAGAGAGATTGGTTGAGAGAGTAGTGAAAGGATTCGAAATTTTCGCTGATTTACATTGATTTTTAGGGTTTAGGGTTCTACGACCTCAGTGAAATTTACATTACAGTCCTTCAATATTGGTCTTTCACACGTTTATACCCCTAAAATATTATAGTTTTGTTAAATTGATCTCTTTCTAGTTTCTGGTAACTAAAACATTAGATTACTAAAAGTATAATAATTTTAGTGGTAGTGAAATTTGTTATTCTTTGATGTATAAAATATATAAATTTTTTCTTTGTTTAGAATAATTTGCAAGTTTTGTCGTTATAATTTTTTTTTTTCCTTTCAATGATCTCTATGATTTTTTTTACAAATTTTGTCTATTACCAATTTAAAATAACGATTTTACTTTTATTTTATACATTTTTATTAGATTTGGTTATTATTAATGTTTTTGGAAAATTAAAAATCCCACCCCTTCCCACCGGTATCCATTCCCTCCTCCACTTCCATGTGGTCTAGTTGGAAATTCTTGTTCATCATTTATTCTTCCTAATTGGTTTTGTTGGAAAATCTCCACCTCCATGTGTCTCATCTTTTATATATTGTTTGATAAAAATAATAATTATTAATTTTAAAAGATTTAGCTTACCAAATAAAAATAAAAATAAATAATGATTAAAAGTTTTCACTAATTTAAGCTGAAAACTTTAAAATTTGCATAATAATAATGATAAAACCACTCAAAACCATTTTTTTTCTATTTTTTTTCCTTAGATGGAAAACAATTTCCAAAAGTAGTGTGTTTAAATTAGTACGACAAGCATTTTTATATTTGAATATTAAGGTTGTATAATTTAATGGATTATGTGGGTCTACTATGGTTGAAAATAAATGGAAATTATATTATGTAAAAGATTATATTAATAAGAGAGAAATATAGAAGAATTGTGTATAAATGTTAGAGATTAAATCAGTATCTACATGAGGTTAATAAAATATTTTTTTAACTGTTTGAACGGTCAAAATCATAAGGAAAAGAGAAATGAATGTGAGACTCTTCTTAGAACGGAGTGTCCGATCGCTAGGCACTCGCTATGCTCGCTATGAAGAAGAGAACACGGCTCCCTAGCGCTCGCTAGGGGGCTCGCTAAGCCCAAGTCATTAGATGTTTGGCACGAAGAAAGAGAAAGGATTGGGGTTGTGATTGGTCCAAGTGTATTTAACCGGATTGCTAAAATGGTGGACTGATTTCAATGCCAAAGAATGATGATAATCAACAGCCGTCATTTGACCGATCATCTTTGGACGATGGACAATCGTAATCTAAATATGTCACCAGAAGACGAATTAGAATGTCAGTTTTTGGAGGAAGACTCGTTGCTTTAGTGTGTTCTTTTATGAAGTGTGTTTTTTATATACTAAGTCTTGTTTCTAGGTATTAAGTCGTGTCTGTTAGTGTTAAGTCATGTTTGTCGTGGTTTGAATTATTAAATCGTGTTTCTAGGTATTTTGAGTTTTAATTTATTGTAACTTTTTTAATTTAATATGAAATGTTTGTATTTTAAAAAAAATATAATTTATATTATATTAATTGTTGGTGGTTTAAAAAAATAAAATTTGATTAATTTTTGTGCATAAAAAATGTTTGTGTATTAAAATAAAATAATTAAATTAAATTAGAAAAAAAATTGGAATGCTAGGAGTGTTACCATTCCCTATCAAATGTCAAGATTAGGTGTTAAATGGAGAAAAATGATGTGACACTCAAAAAGTTGATGTAACAAGGTTAAGGAGAGTGTTACCACTCCCCTTAACCTTATGGTAGAATCGAGCTTCAATAGGGCCGAACCATCAAACATGGTGTTCCGATGTCGAGTCGTACTTGTAAACTAAGACCCTACACATAACAGGAATGATAGAACACTCAGTCTTCAGTTCTGATGATCTTGATATTACCACTTTTGTTGTAGTAGATTCCAAGTATATTTGGAGCCTATGAACTGCAATGAAACCAAACATATTAGTAGGAATATTCAAAACCTAATATCTTAAAATTTTGGACAGTGGATGTTAATATCGAAGTCTGTATCCAAAACTTCGGATACAAATTCAGATATTAAATCAGAAAATACTTAAATTTTAAAAAAAGTATATGTTTTTTAAACACTATCAACCATAAACCAATATTGTTTTCTTTTTCATTGACTAATGAACTGATTAAGTAAAGAGAAATCTAGTATAAAGTCTTTACATTTTGATCTCATATTTAATTAAGTTCCTATATTTTTTTCTGATTAATTCTCAAATACCGATAAACGTATTTATTTTTATCCTTTTTCCCGGATACCAGGTCATTCACTTTCAAAATTTATACTTTTGGCGCAAATTTTAAATTTTATTACAAATTTGGTCAAAAGTTTACACTTTTGACCCAGATTTCAAAATTTTGTTACAAATCCATCCTAAATTTAGTTTTTTACATGTTTTTTCGAAATTTTGTTTCAAATATGTTATTTTTGCTTTATAAAATCATATATTTACAAAAAAAAAACACTTTTTCACATAAAAAGCCTTTTTTTCTATATAAAAACTTTTTTTACAAATTTTTTTTATTAGAAGAAAGGTTTTTTATGTGTGAAATATGTTTTTTTTTGTATAATTTTGGTCCAAAAGGTTTTTCACACAAGGGGTTTTTTATGTGAAAATATGTTTTTATACAAAAAAAAAACATATTTTCACATAATTAAAAAAAACATTATTTCACATAAAAAAACATATTTTTGTTTGTGCATCTATATAATTCGAAAAAGAGTAACGTGTCAAATATTATTTTCACGTAGGAGGAAAAAAATTATTTTCACAAAGGATGAAAAAACTATTTTTGTTTGTGCACCTATATAATTCGAAAACGAATAACATATCAAAAACTATTTTTGTAAATATCTTGGTTTTTTATGTTAAAAAATGTTTTTATTTTAGTATATATCTTGATTTTTAATTTGAAAACATGTTTTTTAGTTTTTAAGCAAAATCTAGTAAGCATAACCAACTTCAACTTTTTTCATTTTAATATAAACCAATAAATTGTAACACCTATTTTCACTTATAAATATTAATACATACAAACCATTGTTTATAAAAATAAAAGTGAAAATGTTAGGAAAAAATCCGAGAAATTTCAATATGGAATATCAAGAACAATCAGAATCAATCATCACAATATGCAAGTAATCTGATAAAGGTTTTTCTTGTATTGATTATGAGATGAACGTACAGAGAAAACCCTAATCTGGTCAAAAGCTTACACCAAAAGTTAACCTAATGATTATTTATAGGGAACAATAAATATCTACCATAAATATAAAATAAATGCCTAATATAAAACCAATGCCTTAGAAGAGCTTGATTAAGAACTTCTACTGTAAAGGCATCGTAGGGAATCATAAAATGATTAACCCTAAAAAGGCTTCCCTAAATAACCAAATATGCCAAATCAGTTTCAATATCTCAAATACTCAACAATTTCCCCCTAGGTGTTGAAACTGATGAAGATCACGATTTCCGATCTTCTTGGCATTTCTCCCCCTAAATTGTGAGACTCATCAGTACATGGGGTCTTCAAAACGAGAGAAATAGAAATAATCTTCCAAATACGAAATCCCCCTTGAATAATCATCACCCCCCCCCCTTGAAAATTCAACAAATACCAGGGAGAGATTCCGGAAAGTTAAGAAGAATCACCAACAATCTTCAAAACCCATCAGATATGATGAAACAAATTCTTTTGGAATAAACCCAATCTTCAAAAAATTAAAACCGGAAAAATAACAAAAAATAATTTTGTATTTTTCGATTTTTAAATTTAGACAAAAGAATAGAATAAGAAGCAATAACTTAGAAGGGTTTAAAGAAGAATAAGACCAAAGAAAAGGATAAGAAATGAAAATAGTTTTGGTAAGAAGGGGTAAAAATGGTAAAAATCCAAAAATGTTGAAAAGAAATTTGGATATTGGATTAAATCTGTGAACTTCTGAAAGTCAGGGGTAAGGATGAAAACATATCCCATATCTTCAATTTAACGCTGCAATAAATACCGATCTTTCAACGTGGATAGAAAACGTGAAGTTTGTAAACATTTGGGGACTGGAATTGAAACTTTTCCATCTTCTTCGTTTGAGGAACAGCGACGCATCTTTTGACTTAAAAAGTCAAAATCAACATTTGATTACAGCAGCCGAATAAATACCTTCGATCAAATTATCAACCCAAATTAGCTTTTAATTTCGATTACCATTGATAATTTCTGAAGATCCAATTTCAGATTTTTACATCCAAATTCAATTCCGATCAGTACTAAATTCTGATTTCCGATATTCCGATTGCGAATCTTTAATCCCAGCACTCCGATCGATTTGAACCTCCATGAATGATGGACTGCAAACCTTCGTTTCCAGTTGATGTCGATGCGATTTCAATGTAGATTGGTGAATTCCGACTCCAAATCGATTGTAAGAAGACTACGAGAGGGTGGTACAAATTCCAATTTTGACTTTCGATTTGGATTTGCAACTGTGAACTATCGAGCCATGAAAACGAACCTGTAGATGTAGATGAGGAAGCGAACTTAATCCACTACGTTCGTTTCTAAATCTAGTCAATTGATGATGAACCGAAAGCGAATCGCAGGTTCGCTTCAATTTCATACCCAAAGCGAAATCAACCGAACGTTCGGTTCCATTCGGTTCCAGTTGAGTTTCGCTTCTTAATCTTGAGTTTGGTTCTTAATGTGAGGTTCGCTTCTATGAGTTCGGTTCTTAATATGAGTTTCGCTTCTTAACTTGAGTTTCGCTTCTTAACTTGAGTTTCGCTTCTTAACTTGAGTTTCGCTTGTGAGTTTTCCTGACTTTCGCTTTTGGAAGATAGGTTCGCTTCTTGATTTTTCCACTTCAAGGAACGAAACACTGGAACTAGCAATAAAGCGAAACTAACTTTCCTTCATTGACTTTCGGTTTTTAACTTTGCTCTGATACCACTTGTTAGGAATAAATCCGATAAATTTGAATACGGAAT